CTGATCTCGGCTCACTGCAACCTCCACCTCCTGGATTCAAGCGATTCTCCTGTGTCAGCCTCTCTAGTAGCTGGGACAACAGGCGCATGCCACCATGCCCAGATAGTTTTTGTATTTTTAGTAGAGAACGGGTTTCACCATGTTGGCCAGGCTGGCCTCTAACTCCTGACCTTGTGACCCACCCACCTCACCCTCCCAAAGTGCTGGGATTACAGGCATGAGCCACTGCGCTGGGCCCAGATTCTTAAATTTTTAATTTTTAATGGCTATAATCTGGTTAACTCTAATCAAGAGGAAATGTTGAAAAAAATTATCAGTGTCTTTCAGCAATTGCTACAATGTATACCTAATTAGTGTTTATCTGTTCAATACATGTTAAATCTGTGGAATGGACTGAAAATGAATTCTACAGAGATTTACTGACTTTGGACATGCTTCGTCTCCTTGGGCCTTGCCAAAAGATCTGGATACATTGTTTCATCCCAGAGAGGAAAGAAGACTTGGTAATCTTGTTCAGTAGTTTTGCCAGGAGTTCTTTTAAATCATTCTCAGGATTTTACCCAAGGTTTACACTGCAGGCCAGCACAGCCATCACATTGCAAAAATCTCAAACCACTTTTACAATGCTTTATTTATTCAAAACGCCAAACAAAAGTGTGAAGTTTCAATATTATAGTCATAGTGGTCTGGTACTTTCCCTCTCATCACCAGTTTTTACTTATTTTTGTAACCCTTTAAAATATTCCTTTCCCTGCAGCAGGCATCCCTCTCTCTCAGATCCAAACATTGCTCAGTTTAGCAGAAACATCAAGGAACATGGGTAAAATGGAAACGCTGTGCTCGACATCTACCCTGGTATTTCCTGAACTTGTTTCTGAAAAATATCTCTAATGACAGGAAAGGGGACCTCTTCCTACAGGGATTAAAGGGTCTGGCAGCTTTTACTTTTTGAAAGGGAATTTACCAAATCATCATCATTCCTGATGACTTTGTGCATGCTATGGAATGTTGTCCCTCCTTTCCATCTCTTCTGCATCTAGCAAAATCCACAATTCCATCTAGACCCAGCACTCTGAGGCCATCCCCTAAGTCTCATGAATATAAAGTATTTTTTATTTTGCCATTTTCATCCAATTGATGTGACCCTAAGTGTATTAATTATCTGTTACTATGTAACAAATTACTTCAAAACTTAGTGGCATAAAGCAACAAATGTTTATTCTCTCATATATTTTCCTGGGGGTCAGGAGTTTGGGAGCAGCTTAGCTGGGTGATTCTGGCTGAGGGTCTCTCATGAGGATGCAGTCAAGGCATTGACCAGTAGGCAGTCATCTGAAAGTCTGCCTGGAAGTGGAGGATCCATTTCTAAGACCACTTATTCATTCACATGGCTGTTGGCAGGAGGCCTCAGCTGCTCACCACATGAGCCTTTCCACATGGTTTCTTAGGCATCATCGTGACATAGCAGTTGACTTCCTGATAGGAGACTAATCCAAGCAATACAAGGTATTTGACCAAAATGGAAGCTATGATGTATTTTATCACTTCACTCCAGAATTGATTAAAAAAAAAAAATCCGTAGTCTATTGGTTACACAGACTAATCCTGGCACAGTGTAAGAGGGGAATATACAAGGGTGTAAATACCAGGAGGTGGGAATTGTTGAGACCATCTTGTTGGCTCTAACACACCAAAAATGTTTTTACTTCCATAATTATGAATTAAAGTGTTTATAACAGAGTTATACTAACATTGATGCTTTTTTTTTTTTTTTTTTGAGAAAATGTTTTCTGGAATAAGCTCCATAAAACCAATTAAATTTCTTGACCACTTTTTTATGCAGCACAAGTATCCTATTTTTAATTGTATTTTCATGTTTATATTGCTTACTTAATGTATTTTCATGAACATTTTTTCCACATTTATTTCCTAAGATGTTATTTGTTGCTCAGGCTTACTAAGGCATTTTGCTAGTCAGTTTTACTATCATTAGTTTTCTGTTGTGGCTTTTAGATCTATCGAGTTAAATTTTCCATCAAGTCAAATTTTCCAAAGTTAAGTTGAACAGATATAACTTTGGTGATGACTGATTCTATATCGCTATGCATCAGTAACTCCAATTTTGTAATTTGAACAGTTTTATCTATAGTAATTTTCATTCTATGGTAATTATTTCTGCATGTAATTTTCCTTATGAGTTGGATTAAAGGTCACTATTAGGTAGTTATTTCTTAGCTAATCTATGAAGTAGTGCTGAGGAATCTCAGATGTTTCAGAATTGCTTGATTATCCAGGAAGGTCCTATAGCAGAGCTCACTGACTTTGTTCTCCATCTTTCTGTGTCCTGTATTCCCGCTGCCCTCACCGTAATTGAAGGAATATATCAACAATATCCCTGGCATCAAAACACAAAATGTTAAAGTGTTCCCCACGGGTTAAAGTGAAGTGTCAATCGCCTCACCTTCTTCTCTTCCTAAATGCGACTTTTCCCCACCCTTCCACCTGACCTTAACCCACTGAAAACTGGAAAGTTGTTGACATCTGTGAGCACTGATCAAATTAGAGCTAACAGCAGGTGAAAGGAAAATCAGGTTTTTGAGGGCAGAAAAACACATTGGCCTTTTTCTTCCTTAAAGTTTTCTGAGCCTGGATCCTGGAACCAAGTACTTCTATTATTTGTTTATTGAATAAATTTAAAGATGTGTAAGTAAATTTTTAAAAACTGGTTAATTCCTGAGTTCTGAGAAGGGCATTATTAGAAGAAATCTCATCAGGACCTGCATTTTTTTTTTAAATCTGCAAATGATGCTCTCATTGTATTACTGAGAAACTCTCAACACAGATACACCTCATTTTAACTTAACAAGATTGTGCTACAACTGGCTTTAGATTTTTCCTAATAAATTAAATTCTACAGAAACGACAGTTCCCTGATTATTTTTCCTAATAAATTAAATTCTACAGAAACGACAGTTCCCTGTGTTTTCTTCTATTCCAGTTACCAGATTGATGTTCCATGAATTTTCAGTACTTTGCATACATTGTAACACGAACGTCAATCATATAACCTCCTTTCACCCCTTCTTGAAGAATTTACTGCAATCAGAAATCCATCAGCTTGTTTTTTGGTCTGTGCCCAGCTCCTCTTTTGTTCTCTTCCTTCCCAAAGGGAACCCTTTTTATAAGCTGGGATGAACCCGTTAGATTCTCCCTTTTGAAATGGTCAAGCTAAGAAACCCAGACTGAATTGTATGATCCTGGTATTGAAGATCTGAAGCTAAGTCATAACGTGCTTTGTGGTCTGTGCTTCAGGGAGATGAATGTAGGTGAGCTGTGTCTGGGGAAGTGAGGAAGTTACCAGACCAATTCCAATAACCACGGAAAGAGGTGAGGAGAGCCATCAGGTACCTGCAGTGGAAATAAATTGAAAAAGCACTCGGTAACTGGACAGAATAGGAGGTTTGTGGAAACAAGAACAATCAAAGACATAGGAGTTCAATCTGAATGACTGCTGGGAACATAGATGCCTTTAAAAAACAGAGAGATCACAGAAAACATTGCCCCTTGAGGGTCTAGATTTCCAGCAGGCAACTCAAAACTGGGAATTCAGACGTCTCCCTTTGTGACTTAATATGTTCTTTTAAAAATTGTACTCAATTAACAGTTTGATAGGAAAGCAGAATTGCATTGTTAAAGAGTGTTAAGATAAAGAAGGATTAAACTGTAATTCCACTGTTACCGTTTTTACGTTTCTTTTTTCCAGTCATTTTCCGGACGTTCAAAAATATGTACTATTAAATTGTTTTTAAAGACACATTTTAATTTTGGATAAGCCAACATTTCTGAGTCTAGGGTTTCCAAAACTAAGGGTTTTGGAGACGTGCTGGGTCAAAAATAGAAGTTCGGTTAAATACTTGCTCAGTAGTGGCCGGACTGATGGTCTGGAACCCTAAAGAGAAATTAAGAATTTTTCTTTTTTGAAGATTTAAATGTTTCCTTAATCTGAAAGTGAAACAGATTGTTTGCTTTGCTGTAACGAGGGAAGAAGCAACAAGAGAACAATTGACAGGATGAAGCAACTTCTCCCAGAAACTTTTGAGACCCCAACGCCCTCAAGCCCTGATGATTGGAAAGTAACTCGAACGACGCGAGAACAAGCGCACGCGCAGTGTCAACGCGGCCCCGGTCACCCCGCCCCGGGAGCTGTCTCCGCCCCCGCCCTCTCTCAGTCGCCCCGCCCTGGAGGTTGTCTTTGCCCCCGCCCCTTCTCAGTCGCCCCGCCCCTTCTCAGTCGCCCCGCCCCGGGAGCTGTCTTCTCCTCCGCCCTCTCTCCGCGTACCCAGTTCCGGGGGAAGTGTGTTACAGCGACACTGCCCCGACTGCTTTCGTTTCGCCCTCCGTCACTTTCTGCCCTGCAATGGCGTCAGGGCTGATAAGACTGCTCCAGCAGGGGCCTCGCTCCCTCCTGGCTCCAGCCGCCCCCATGCTGGTCCCTCCGGTTCGGGGAGTGAAGAAGGGATTCCGCGCCGCCTTCCGCTTCCAGAAGGAGTTAGAGCGGCGGCGCCTGCTGCGGTGCCCGCCGCCGCCTGTGCGCCGGTAGGAGCCGCCTCGGGAAGGGGTCAGGGTGGCGGTCGCAGACTCCGGGTTTCCTTTCCGCGGCTTCGTGCCTGCGGCTGATGCGCCCCTGGGCTGAGCCTTAGGAAGTTTGCGGTAGAGACTCCCGTGAGCTGGCGCGTGGCCTGAGGCAAAGAAAATGGATTCGTGCCGCGGGCGGTAGAGCTCTGGGCTGCTCCCTACGTTTTGAAATTCCTAGTTAGGATTTTATCTACTACTGAAAATTGGGAGAAATGGGGCTGGCTGGAGGGTCTTCCTTATGTGGACTTGGGTGCTGAAGCCCCCATCTGTAATGCCTGCGAATTCCGACAAGAGGGAAGAAAGCGGTCCACAACGTGGTAAATTAAGGAGAAAAGAAAAAGAATCTACAACCTGAAGTCTGTCTAGAGTAAAAGGAAAATAAGTTAGCTTTAGATTTTTGCCCTAGTCTTTTTTTTCCTACTGTGTCCCAGGCTTCTTTAAGAAAAAAGTGATATATGTGGGGTTTAAAATCTAGAGCATCATTGAACTTCACTTTCCCTCCAACCAGTTGCCCCAAACTTTCCTGCTCCCATCCTTTGTATTCCCAATCCCTTCCTTAGTGAGTGAAGAACTTAATCCCAAAAGCCCTGCACAGACTCCAGGTTCTCTTTTCCTAGTTTCTCTCCTCTCCCTGTCCCTTATTTCTAGAAGGGCAGGCACCTGTTTGAATGCATGGGAGAGACCAGAGTGGTGATGGAGACGGGAAAATGCGTTCCCCTCAGGGAAAGGGACTCAGGAGTACAGTGCAGTGAAGTGAGGGCTCTGATAGCCCTAATTAGCCTCGCTCTGGTAGCAGGTTTGGCATAGAGAGACTGGTTTTTATAGCGCCAAATCAGATCAGACTTTACATAATTTAAATTCCTGCGTCTTGCTTTTTCTCTTTAATAATGTGTCTTCGACATGTTGTCATGGCATTTCAAAGAGATGTACCTCACTCTTTTTTATGGCTCTGTTTTTGGGCCTATGAGCCCCATATTATTGCCATCATAACCTATGTAACAGTGTGTATCTTTATTTCACCTTTGGGGACGCATACATAGTATGAAATTTTGAAAGCTATTAGTACTTTAACATTGTCCGTCAAAATGTTACCCTTTGTACCCCTACCAGGAGGAACGGTCTTCTAACAGAAGATTATGGCAAAAATAACATCTCTTCTTAATTCACATTCCCCTCTTTATTGTAATGTTAAGTATTTTAGACTCTCAAAGTTGGAAGAAACTTCATGGATCTATTGGATAGATCTTATGACTTTCAACCCATTTTTTTATACTTTGCTTCCCTTTGTTTCTTAAAAGGATTTTATTTTGAGTTTTTGGGTTTTTTTTTAAGACTTTTTAGTTCATTCTTGGAAATGATGATGAACTTTTAACCTACTTGTGATATTGATAGATTATTTAATTGCTAATTTAAATATTTCCAAAACCTAAGCCAATAAAATAAAGAATACAGGTCGCCTTTCATATCTGTGTGTTCCACATCCAAGGATTCACCCAATGGCAAGTTAAAAATATTGGGGGTAAGGGATAATGATTTCTCTGTATTGAAGATGTGCAGACTTTTTTTCTTGTCACTATTCCCTAACCAATACAGGATAACAACTATTTATGTAGCGCTTACATTATGTTACGTATAAGTAATCCAGAGATGACTTAAGTATACAGGGGAATGTGCACAGGTTCTATGCAAATACAGGTGTACCTCAGACATATTGCAGGACTGGTCCTAGACCACGGCAATAAAACGAGTCACATGACTTTTTTAGTTTCCCAGTGCATACTTATGTTTATACTATTCGGTAGTTTATTGAAGGTGTACAGTAGTATTGTCTAAAAAGCAATATATGTACCTTAATTTAAAATACTTTATTGCTAAAAAATGCTGACGCAGAGACACAAAGTGAGCACATGCAGAATTGCTACAAACCTTCAATTTATAAAAAGAATATACAATAAATCTGTGAAGAACAATAGACTGAAGTGCAATGAAGTGAAGTATGCCTCTACTACACCATTTATATGAGACTTGAGCATCCATGAATTTCGGTATCCAGTAGAGTCCTTGGAACCATCCCCCACAGATATTGAGGGATGACTGTAAATATAATGTACCTAGTGTTTATGGCTTGAATCTGAAATTATCATTTATGTTTTGTACTTAGGTATAAAACATAGTTTCATAGTTAGTGTAGAAATAAGGAACCTAAAAGGCTAATGGCTTATTCTTTTATATTGAAGAACGAATTTCATATGACAATTGGATCAAAGGGAAAATTAATCCAACCGTTTATGTAGAATATAGCAAAGAACTGCTAGTATTTATCTGACTTCAGTTTTAACATTTAGAATATCAGCCTGGCATTAAAACAAGTATAACCTTTTTTCATTTTCTTTCTGTAATTAATAACATTACAACACAGTGAAAAATTTTTATATCACAGTAACAGGTTGTTCTTTTTACCATCTCTTACTGTCTTTACATTTTCAGTTCAGAGAAGCCCAACTGGGATTACCATGCAGAAATACAAGCTTTTGGACATCGGTTACATGAAAACTTTTCCTTAGACATTCTCAAAACTGCATTTGTTAATAGCTGCTATATTAGAAGTGAGGAGGCCAAACGCCAACAGCTTGGGATAGAGAAAGAAGCTGTTCCTCTGAATCTTAAAAGTAATCAAGAACTATCTGAACAAGGGATGTCTTTTTCAAAGACTTGCCTCACACAATTTCTTGAAGACGAATTCCCAGACTTACCCACAGAAGGCGTCAGAAGTCTTGTTGACTTTCTTACTGGTGAGGAAGTTGTGTGTCACGTGGCTAGAAACTTGGCTGTGGAGCAGTTAACACTGAGTGAAGAATTCCCAGTGCCCCCGACTGTATTACAGCAGACTTTCTTTGCGGTTATTGGAGCCCTGCTACAGAGCAGTGGACCCGAGAGGACTGCACTTTTCATCAGGGTACGTAATTATTAATTGGACATGCTTGAGTTAGACAGAAGGGAAAATTTTCTTTTGTAATTCATTTCTTTGATATATCACCTTGGAAGTGAATATTTCTCCCAAGAAAAACTGAGAAAGACCTAAAGGTTTTTTATGGAAGGGCCTTAATTATTCCAGGTGTCTCTTATTGTGGATATCATCAGAAGTGATTATTAAATTGTGAGTTGTGATTTCTGACTGCAAGCCATGTCATCTTTAGGTTTACATCCTTAGGGCCGAGGATACTGCCTGCATGAGAGATACTCAGTAGATGTTTGGTGAATGCATGAAGTCAAAGGACGCTATGCTGAGGCCTGTGCTTCAGTACCAGCTGCTGTTGTACTCTTCCAAGTGTTGAAATCTTGGATTTCGAGTCCCTCTCACGTATAATTCTTTGTTAGCTAGTAGCTTAGCTAATTCAGATTCTTATGTAATTGGTACAACTTGACTCCCACTGTCCTTTTATAATTTATTAACTGGGAGAAGTTGTATCCTCTGCTGTTGGATGAAAACATGAGGTTTTTGTTCACTTTTTGATAATAGAGATTCCACACAACCACTTTTTTTTTTTTTTTTTTGAGATGGTGTTTCTCTCTTGTTGGCCAGGCAGGAGTGCAGTGGTGCAGTCTCGGCTCACCACAGTCTCCGCCTCCCGTGTTGAAGTGATTCTCCTGCCTCAGCCACCCGAGTAGCTGGGATTACAGGAATGCACCATCATGCCTGGCTAATTTTGCATTTTTATTAGAGATGGGGTTTCTCCATGTTGGTCAGGCTGGTCTCGAACTCCTGACCTCATGTGATCTGCCTGCCTCGGCCTCCCAAAGTCCTTGGATTACAGGCATGAGCCACTGTACCTGGCCCTACGCAATCACTTTAAGTCATAAAAACAGTCTTGATTCAGGCATCTATCAGACTGATATTCAGTCTTTAAACCAGCATCACATGCTGTTGGAATCTGTTCGTTTAGTTTTGATACCAAGTTTGATAATTTTGTTAGAGAATATCTGTGTTTACTGATACTTCAGACTCAAGTAAGACCTTTCTCCTTCCCTCCCCTCAGTTAAGATAGTTTTTTTTTCTATAGGAAGTCTGACAAAGTTCTCTTTGATTTCTAGTCTCTTTATTATAACCTTTGTGACGTTTTAAAACTCTAAGCATTTTTGGTCACCATTTTGAAATTCTACAAGGTAGTCATGAAACTATGTTGGAAATATTTACCATATTTTAATGCCTCTTAACAGTTCCAAGTAAAGATCTTATGAAACATAGATAATTCACATAGCTACTTCTAAGTCGAGCTTTGATGTCTCCCATAGTAGAATTGACAGGTTTGGATTGTCCTATTTCATTTGTTCATCCACTTAATGTTGAGTGCCTTCCTATGGACCAGGCACTCTGCTGAGCTCTGGAGCCACAGTCTAAATAGGATTTGATCCTGCTCACAGCTTGTTAGTCAGATGGAATGGATTGTGGAAGTGCTTTCGGGGAGGTATTAAGGTGCAGCGTAAACTCGGAGGACACAACAACCAGCTTTAGTAAGGCTAGGAAAGGCTTTATAGAAATGATTTTTGCCCCTAAAAAGGATGTTTTGGGAAGACAGTGTCAAGAATGAGCTTCTGCTTGGAACTATAGATAATTTTTTGTGGCTGGATCATATTGCATTTGGAGAAGTGATCAGAGATGATTGTGGACCTTTAGGAGCCAGTGTGCAGAAGAGCTAATAGTGTTACTCAGAAAGTGGTTTGGGCGTCAGTATCAGCATCACTGGAGAACTTGATAGAAATGCAGATTCTCAGGTGCCCCCTCAGAGTACATAATCTCTGGGAGTAGGGCCTAGGAATCTGTATTTTAACTAGCTCTTCACGTGATGTCTGCATCTGGAAACTAGAATAGCACTCTTAGCCATGAGTAAGTATTTGATGCTCTTGTGTCGAGACAGCTGGTGGTGAGAGGTTTTTAATGATCAAATGTGCATTTTAGAAACACCGTTTCTTCATACTGCTTCCCTATTCTGGGGAGATGAGATTGGAGTATTCAACTCACACCCTATTAGAAAGTTTTAATAATAAATTAATAAGACCAGAAGCAAATAGCAAAAAAAGAGAAGGAAGTAATAGAAGGTAATCACTTAAGAAAAATAGAGCTTTCTTTCTATATTCCTACTGATATCTTAGGTGATGGGAAAGAATTGTGTTTTCTTACCTTACAAGTGGTTATTCCATATAACAGACAGCAGGTCAGTGATTTTTATATATGTTTGTATACATACATAGCCCATAAGGCATATCTACTTCTGTACTTTAAAAGTTTCAAAATCCCCTACTGAGAATGGATTTATACATTTTTTATTTGAGACAGCATCTCACTCTGTCTAGTGTGTCCAGGCTGGAGTGCAGTGACGTAGTCACACCTCACTGCAGCCTCGACTTCCTGGGCTCAAGCCATCCTCCCATGTCAGCCTCCCTAGTAGCTGGGACCACAGGCATACACCACCATGTCTAACTAATTTTTTTTTTTAAGAGATGGGGTCTCATTATGTTGTTCAGGCTGGTCTTGAACTCCTAACCTCAAGTGATCTTCCCACCTCAGCCTCCGAAAGTACTGGGATTATAGGTATCAGCCACCATGTCTGGCCTAATATTTTTTATTAATGACGCTGAAAGTGTTCATCCACTTAATGTGCATGGAGGAGTGTTGTAATGAATTGACTTCATTTCATGAACTAAAGGATCTTTTTAAATTTCTTTTCTCCTGCCTCCGTCCATCTTGTTATCATATTGCTAATGTTTGTTGATACAAGTTAAGTGGAATATGTAAATTGCTGTGAAAATTAACATTTGCTTCCATAATTTCTATACAACATAATGTTTTTTACTGGCAAAATCAATTCTGCTTTGAATGTTCATAATTTCTCAGTTATCTTAGTCATATAAATAATTAATACTATGTTGCAGTTTTAAAAGACAGTTTATGTGAAATTATTAAATGATTTTTTAGAATTATTTTTTATTTTTTATTATTGTTTTTTGAGACAGAGTCTTGCTGTGTTGCCCAGGCTGGAATGCAGTGGTGGCACGATCCTGGCTCACTGCAACCTCCACCTCCCTGGTTCAAGTGATTCTCGTGCGTACGTCTCCCTTATAGCTGGGTTTACAGGCATGCACCATCATGCCTGGCTAATTTTTGTATTTTTAGTAGTGAGAGAGTTTCACCATGTTGGCCGGGCTAGTCTCATACTCCTGGCTTCAAGTGATCTGCCTGCCTTGGCCTCCCAAAGTGCCAAGATTACAGGTGTGAGCTACTGTGCCTGGCTGAGTTTTTAAAAACATTATTAATGGAGGAGGTATTGTTATCTGAGTGCCATTTTACATGAGTTTCTACCAGAAGTTATTACTTTTTGTTAACTCAATTCTTTAAATATTTTTTTCTTACCTGTAGGAATATAATTCTAATTTATAAGATAGGGCAGGGCGCGGTGACTAATGCCTGTAATTCCAGTGCTTTGAGACCCAAAGCAGGAGGATCCTTTGATGCCAGGAGTCGAGACCAGCCCGGGCAACTTACGGAGACCTTGTCTCTACAGAAAATTTAAAAACTAGCCGGGTATGGTGGTGTGCATCTGTAGTCTCAGCTGCTCAAGAGGCTGAGCTGGGAGGATTGCTTGAGCCCAGGAGGTCAAGGCTTCAGTGCACTTGAGATCAGACTTCTGCAGTCTAGCCTAGGCAACAGAGTGAAGCCCTGTCTCAAACAAGAAAAAAGGAATCTGCCTTCTGTGGCATTTTGGTGGATCATACTGTTTGAAATAGGTTTCTCAGGCTTTCAAGTTTTTTTAATCCAATTATGATTTTTGTAATAAAATTTATGTAAAAACTATGGGAATGAAAGAGAATAGCACATTTTTGTCTTTCATTTCCCATTAAGTTTTAAATTTCTGTTAAAAATGTACTTTGTTACTTTTCTAATTTAAAAAGTGTAAAAAATGTATTTTGAATTGTGGTCCTAATGTTCTTTATACTACTTAAAATGTATAAATTATATTTTTATATGCAGGACTTCTTAATTACTCAAATGACTGGAAAAGAGCTCTTTGAGATGTGGAAGATAATAAATCCCATGGGGCTATTGGTAGAAGAACTGAAGAGAAGAAATATTTCACTTCCTGAATCAAGACTCACTAGGCAGTCTGGTGGCACCACAGCTTTGCCTTTGTATTTTGTTGGCTTATACTGGTTAGTGAAATTTTAATCTTTATAACTTTGAGGAAATCCTAAAAACAGACTCCTCACAAAGCCTTAAAAACAGACTCTTCACATTCCATAACGCATGTTAACATAACTTCTTCAAATTCCTTAATTTGAATTGCATTAAAAGGTTTTTTAAAAAATCTCTTCCCTGTGGCTATTTACTACTTCTTTCCTGCTAGTTATTCTTAGGAGGAATCTGAGTTTTACTAATCTTAGCTTTTGTCAGCCAACTATTTACTATAGACTTTCAGTATGTTATCTTAAATTTTTCTGTGTAAAATTACAAATGAGGCCAGGCACAGTGGCTCACGCCTGTAATGCCAGCACTTTGGGAGGCCAAAGTGGGTGGATCACAAGGTCAGGAGTTCAACACCAGCCTGGCCAGCATGGTGAAACCCCGTCTCTAGTAAAAATACAAAAAATTAACTGGGCATGGTGGTGTGCGCCTGTAATCGGGAGGCTGAGGCAGGAGAATTACTTGAACCCAGGAAGCGGAGATTGCAGTGAGCTGAGATCATGTCTCTGCACTCCAGCCTGGGCGATAGAGACTCTATCTCAAAAAAAAAAAAAGTACAAATGTTGACTTCATGTTGCAGATTTAACCTTAATCCATTCTTGTCAGTAGCTTCAGCTGAGCCTAGAACTGGAAAAGGAAGGGCTTAGTTGTCCATCAAAAGGTATAAATCACCCCATGTTGAGAGCTTTTTAGTTTTGTTAGTAAAAAGTTGACCTGCCCCAAATTAATTTCAGATGTTAAGATTAAAGTGTTTAAATATTGAATATTTTTTAAAAACCTAGATTAAAATTTAGGTAAAGATTTTTCTGATCCTTGTATCAGAAAAGACTATAAGTATAAAAGAAATAGAAGTTACTACATGGGGAAAATTGATAGTGTTGTAAAAAGTTTCCTTTTCAGTTTACTCCTTGTTACTTACCTGATTGGCAGACCTTTTAAACATATCTTTTGTCACCAGTTTATTCACTGCTGGTAGAAAAAAATGTACTCAGTATTTCTGTGAATAATTTTGACAAAATGCCAAGCATCTTGACATTTTTTATGTTCTTTGATTATGGTATTTCAATTTTTGGTTGTTTGCCTTAAATTTTCAGACAAATTTCGTGAACAGAGACATTTGTTGTTTCCCTCTTTATGCTCCATACCTTGAACAGTTGCTGGGACATGGTGGTGGTCAGTAAATAGTTATTGAACTAAAAAAAAAAAAAATTAGATATAAATGTGGTATTCCACAAGAGGGAAATGATATATGCACATGATGAATATAGTACAGTTATTATAGGTGACATTTTAAAAGAATTTTTAATGAGATCAGGACACTTTGGAGAATGATCTTTTATCTAAAAAAAAAAAAAGTAAGAAGTAGTTTACCATATTACTACAGTGATTACTATTGGGTAGTAGTGTTTTTGTAGATCTAATGTTCTTTTTTTTTTTTTCCTTTTTATTTATTTATTTATTTATTTAAATTTTTTGAAGAGGTCTCACTATGCAGCCCAGTCTGGTCTTGAACTCCTGGGCTCAAGCAATCCTCCTGCTTTGGTCTCCCAAAGTGTTGGTGTTACAGGTGTGAGCCATCACACCTGGCCTAAAGTTCCTAATTTGAAATATAGAACTGGTTTCTCATTTGTGTTAAAGTTTAGATGGCAAACTCAAAAGTCATAATTTTTTCAACAGAATATTTTCCCAAGTTATATCACACGTTAAAAATAAGAACAGTCATAATTCCTGATAATATTTTTAATAGTTTCAGGTTTTTGTAAGGAGATATTTGTTTCCATATTCTTCCAATTCTCATCAACAATTGAAAACGTAGATACTGCTTGCTTTTTTGGACTTTAAAAATAGAGTTGTGTATATTTCTAAGGAAACACAAATGTATCTTTGTCTCATTACCATATGTAATGAATTTGCAGCAAAGCTAGTTAAAATTCCAAAGCTAGTTAAGATCTATCAAAGCTATTGTGTTACTTCTAATGGGTGTTATTGAAATAAGATGTAGAAAGCATAATTGCTTTATAATTGCTTTGTGTACTGTCTTATCATGTTGCAGGTGATTTAAGACAACTGTTTGTTCTCTTTCTAGTGATAAAAAGTTGATTGCAGAAGGACCTGGGGAAACAGTGTTGGTTGCAGAAGAAGAGGCTGCTCGAGTGGCCCTTAGGAAACTTTATGGATTCACAGAGAACAGGCGGCCTTGGAACTATTCCAAGCCCAAAGAAACGTTGAGAACACAAAAGACCATCACTGCCAGCTAGCCAGCCAGCCATGATGTGGAGCCTGAAATGTGAGAGCAAAAGTCAGATAAATGTCAAAGGTGTTTCAAGCTAGATGTTTTCAAAATTGCAAAGAAATAGGTGTTTTTTGTTTTTTACTGTTCCTAAAATTAAATAAATGTTAACCAAGTCACAGTGTTTTTGGTTTTGTTTTTTTAAAAGCTTGGTTTGATCAGATTTTTTTTTTATTATGGAGATTGAGTCTAGCTCTGTGGCCCAGGCTGGAGTACAGTGGCATGATCTCACCTCACTGCAACCTCCACCTCCTGGGTTCAAGTGATTCTCGTGCCTCAGCCTTCCTAGCAGCTGGGATTACAGGCATGTGCCACCATACCCGGCTGATTTTTGTATTTTTGGTAAAGAGTGGGTTTCACCATGTTGGTCAGGCTGGTCTTGAACTCCTGACCTCAAGTGATGCACCCTCCTTGGCCTCCCAAAGTGCTGGGATTGCAGGTGTGAGCCACTGTGCCTGGCCAGATGAAATATTTTTTGACATTTTTGCAAGAAATTTTCCTAAAGTTCTTAATTGTATAGAATTTGTATTATTAGGTATATTTTATTTGCCTCTAGCTTTGAGGTGTCATAATTCAAATATGTGTCTTACATGAATTCTGTCCTGTAAAACCAATAAAAAAGGTTTTTTTTCTCCAAACGTTACATTGCATTTTAATTTGATATACCCAGTAATGGTAGGAGGCTGATGAACTTTGCTTCTGTAATACAATTTTAACTAAAATAGTAATGTTAAAACTCTTTGGGAAGTGCATAGTACAGATTATAAATAGGCAGCTATTTATGTGATCCCTAGATTCTAAGTTTAAAATTCTGTATACTTCTAGTATGTTTCTTGTTGAATTTCTAATATAAATAGGAAGAAAAGGCAAATTTTATGCTTTTAAGAAATTGCCTTTACTAAGAAGTTGAAACTCAAAAACAGCTTAAAATGTTAATGGTGAAGGGAAAATGAAGTATGTATCAATTCACTTAGTATTCTCCTATCATAATAATAGCTAGTATGTACCAAGCACTGTTCTAAGTATTTGAACACATTAAATTCAGTAGAGAGGTTTTCATTTTCTAATCCTTTGTGGTCAGTTCAGTAATCCCCCAACTGCAAATTCCTTTTCATTTATCATTTTTTAAAACTTTTTTAGTTTCAGTCTGCCAGTAGTCACTCCCAAGGGTTAACAAGAATAGCAGGACCTATGAGTTCAGAATAGAAAAGAGATAAAATGCTAAAACCATCAGTACTTTTGCCATGATTTTTTTTTCTTTGAGACGTCTGGCTCTGTTGCCAGGCTGGAGTACAGTGGCGCAATCTCGGCTCACTGCAGCCTCCTCCTGGGTTCAAGGGATTTCCCTGCCTCAGCCTCCCAAGTAGCTGGGACTATAGGCATGCGCCACCATGCCCAGCTAATTTTTTGTATTTACTTTAGTAGAGACGGTTTCACGACATTGGCCAGGATGGTCTAAATCTCCTGACCTCATGATCCACCTGCCTCAGCCTCCCAAATTGTTGGGATTACAGGTGTGAGCCACTGCACCCCAGCCTAAAAAAAAATTTTTTTTTGAGATGGAGTCTTGCTCTGTTGCCCAGGCTGGAGTGCAGTGGCAGGATTTCAGCTCACTCTAACCTCTGCCTCCAATGTTCAAGCGATCCTCCTGCCTCAGCCCCCATAAAAGCTGGGATTACAGGCATGCACCACCATGCCCAGCTAATTTTTGTATTTTTAGTAGAGACGGGGTTCTGCCATGTTGACCAGGATGGTCTCAATCTCCTGACCTCATGTTCCACCTGCCTCAGCCTCCCAAATTGTTGGGATTACAGGTGTGAGCTACCGCACCCCAGCCTGAAATTTATTTTTCGAGATGGAGTCTCCCTGTGTTGCTCAGGCTGGAGTGTAGTGGCAGGACATCAGCTCACTATAACCTCCACCTCCAAGGTTCAAGCGATCCTGCTGCCTCAGCCCCGCTAAAAGCTGGGATTACAGGCATGCACCACCATGCCCAGCTAATTTTTGTATTTTTAGTAGAGACTGGGTTTGCCACGTTGGCCAGGCTGGTCTCAAACTCCTGACCTCAGGTGATCCACCCACCTCAGCCTCCCAAAGTGCTGTGATTATAGGTGTGAGCCACCACGCCTGGCCCTGAAATTTTTTTATAAAGAAAGATGAAGGAACTTTGAAATGCCTTTTCTGAGACTGGCTAAGAAAGTGGAACTTGAGTCATATTAGAAGGTTTATAGCTCCCAAAGGTAAAGCAGGGACTATTTTTGCAGGGGAAAATTTGAAAAATAACTAGTTGACTGAATTGGTAGGTTAAAAGTAAGTTAAAGTTGACCCTCGAACCACGTGGGTTTGAACTGTGCAGATCACTATGTGTATACAGATTTTCTTCTGTCTTTGTCACCTTGAGACAGCAAGACCATCCCCTCTTCCTCCTGCTCTTCGGCCTACTCAGTGTGAAGACAAGGATGAAGACCTTTTTGATCATCAACGCTCACTTAATAGTAATATATTTTATCTTCTTTTGATTTTCTTAATATTTTTTAGCTTACTTTGTTGTAAGAATAATGTGTATAATATATATAATAAGTAAAATATGTGTTAATCAGTTGTTTATTAATATATTATCAGTAAGGTTTCCAGTCAGCCATAAGCTATCAGTAGTTAAGTTTTGGGGACGTCAAAAGTTTTATAAAGATTTACTACTGCATGAGAGATCAACATCCTTAATCCCTGCATTGTTCAAGTGTCAACTATATTTTACCTTATTTTCAGAGTTAACTTCAACTCCTAGTAATGGAACAGAAGGATAGAGGACCAAACCTAGTGATAAAATGTCGTTTGTGTGTATTATCCACAAGTAAACATGATTTGATAAGCATCTTACTGACACTTTAGGAGAAAAGAGATAATATCATCAACTTTTCTGGAAAGCAAAAGACAGGTCTTCTGACCACTTATCCAGTGTCTGTGAGAAGGCAGAATCTAGCTGTAGTATGATTCTAATTGTTTTTTTAAGGTCAACGTAACAAGAAAGTCTAGAGAATTCATTTGCAAACATAGTAATCCTTTCCCCCCTGCTAAATAGTGCTGATTGTGCATTCCCAAATTTCTCCTGCTCGGGAGTTTGCGGGACCTTAACCTACAAGCTTCGAGGGGAACTATCCTTTTAGGTTTTCAAGCTTCTAAACCTTGAATGCTTTGAAATTTACATGTGGGACGAGTCTAGCTCCAGTTCATAAAACTACTTTGCAAGTAGAGATCCATATGCCTTATACAGAATGTAATTCAACATATTTTTAAGTAAAGCCTTCTTAGAACTTAAGTTGTACTTTTTAAAAGCATCCACTAAAATAGGGCAGAAATGTAGAAAATTTAATGTAGAAAAATCGCATACATTTTCAATTGCATATCAAATAGCTTGAAATTTGGAACCAGTCTCTGAATAACTATTTGTCCTATGAGCCTGACTGCCTAAGTATGATATGTGGGCAAAAGGAACACGTGGATGCAAGGGTGTCATCAAACGGTGCGTGTGACCAAGAGCATTCAGTGACCATTTGAAGGACTAGCTTTTTGACTAATGCCTCGTCCATGTTGAGAAGACAGTCATAAGACCGTATGGAAGTACTGACATTTGAATTTAGGTTTACCCCAGAGAAATAGATTAGTCATTTCCTTTGAAATTCTTTTTCCACCTTTTCCCACTCTCTAGTTCCCTGTTTCCAAAGTATAATTGTATCAAAAAAGTCCCCTAGCTAAAAATGTAGCATTACTGTTTACAGACCACATAACCCCTATTCTTTATTTAATTTGTTTATTTATTTATTTTTTGAGATGGAGTCTCACTCTGTCACACAGCCTGGAGTGCAGTGGTGCAATCTCATCTCACTGCAACCTCTGCCTCCTGGGTTCAAGTGATTCTCCTGCCTCAGCCTCCCGAGTAGCTGAGACTACGTGCCACCATGCCCAGCTAGTTTTTTTATTTGTTTAGTAGAGACAGGGTTTCACCGTTTTAGGATAGTCTGAATCTCCTGACCTGGTGATCCACCCTCAGCCTCTCCAAGCGCTGGGATACAGGCGTGAGCCACCACGCCTGGCCACCCCTGTTCTTTTAAATTCATATTCTTTTTATTATGTGTATATGTAAGAATGAGGAATATTACTCTCAAAATGTTGTATGTGGTTACAAGAAAGTAAACTACAAACTAATACTAAACTCCAAGTAAGAATGGAACAAAGTGGAGCTTTTTGTGTTCAGCGCTGTATAGATTTTGGCCACAAGATGGTGCTGTAATCCTATTGCACAGTTCAGTATGTGAATTGTGCCATTATGGGGAACCTATTTTATACCTATACCCGAAAGATTATATGGCACATGATTACCATGAAGTACAACTTTTCAAGGCCCCTTTCAGCTCTAATATTCCGTCAATACTTCTTCAGGAGCCCGCTCACCTTGGTCTTCCTTTGCCTTAGGATATTATAAGAATTTGATATATGAACAATTCACCTCAGATGTGAAGGTGTGGATATTTGAGCTCTTCTCTGTTCACTGGAAAGAGGGAAGATTGCAGGGCTGCCATAGATAAAACTCTTAAAATACTTTCTTTGAAGGCCTCTTCTTGCTGTTTCTTTCTTCCCACTTCCTTTTGTTGATAGGAGAAGATGCCCTGCAGAGGCAAGGGGGGGATCCTGTGTCTCTCGGGATGTTTTCTGAAGCCAGATGTGGACATTCTTCCCATCAGGGCGGCCAGCTCACAGCATTTCCCAGCAGAGGGTGCTCAGCCGCTGGCATGCTGCCCGAGTTCTCCATCCTAAGCCCACTTTGTTTTTCTTCCCCTCAGTTCATCCCTGTTCCATCTCCCCTGGCCTTAGTTTGCAAAGTCCCTCAACGGTTGTCCTCTGGGACCTAGAGGCTCTTCACTTTGGTTGAGTATCAGAGCACTTACTTGAAAGTTATGGTTCTCTCTGTATATTACCAAGAGTGATTGCCAGATTTAATCCCATCATGCACACTAATAACCATTTTTCCTGGAACTTATGCAATCAAAAATCACAATCACACATGCTCCTGAAAAAGGAAAGTTGTTTTGGCATTGGTGGTGTTTGTGCTTTCCACGAATACTTATTTGTTGTTTATTTATCTGCCTGCCTGTTAGCGTTTGCTAACTGCGGAAGATGAATGGTTTAAGAAAACTTTCTGGGAGAAAAACAATTTAGAAAATTGAAAACATTAACTTTTTCCTTCTTCAGTTGAGGAAGAACTATGTTATTTGATTATTCAGAGTATCTTATCAGCTGAGTTGCTGTCCATTAAAATTGCAAATGCACTTGGTGTGATCAAAAACAGCTATCTCTCATTTTGCAAATTTCTCCTTTAAATCACAACATCTCTCTCTCTCTTTTTCTTCAAGATTGAAGAGATGGTCAAAGACACAGTTTGGGAATCTCCAGAGAAATGGAGCTTTAAAGCCAGTAGTGTCTTCCACTCTTTGGCCTCCCAAAGTGGACTCTCAGTAGGCAAATGACACAGTGCCTTTCAACATTCACAGGAAGTCAAGGACATAGAAGTCACCTCCCGGCTTACCCAGCTCTCACCTCTCTCCCAGCTGTCACCACTGATCACTCTTAGAAAGTGGGCAAT